ATTCTAGCGACCAGCCAACCTGTCTCTATACCTGTATATTTGTAAGAAAGATGGACAAGTCCTACACATCTCTGGAGATGGTCCTCTTTAAGCCCTTTGTGGCTCCCTTCTTCAAACTGCCTGCGGGATGTGGAGGGGGTCCATGTCAAGGTCCTCTAATTAACTGGGTTTTTACAGAGAGTGAAATTCTCACCATTTTATTAGGCAGCCTTCTTCCCCCTTGACGGTGACGTAAGGGCTGAAATCCTGTTCACCTTTGCACAACGTAAAGCTAAGCCTGTGTAATGAGAGTGCCAAGCATTTGCACCCGGGGACCAAGCACGCCGTGCAACTGTGGTGCTGAGAGGTGCGTGAACGGAGGAGTGGTCCACGCACCTGCTGACACGACCATTGCTCGGCGTGCACGTGTAGGGTTTTAGCGAAAAGTGTGGAAAATATAAGAAACGGCACCCTTGAAATTTCAAGGCAAGAACTGCCTCTTCCCATCTTGGATTCATTTCGACTCCAATCATCTTAGGAACTCTAAAAATACATCAGCCCGGATACCTTTCTGAGTCAGATATTATATCCCTCACAGCTTAAAGTGAGCTTCCAAGAATGCTGTGCAGGGCTAAAACTCCAAGATGAATTCCCCTGCCCATCGCTCTGCCAGGTCTAAGTGGCCCTTAATTCACACAACGTCACTCCTTCGTTGTACGAAGTGGGATATATAGTGTTCCCGTCAGATAGCTGCTTCGTTTTGACTGTCCCGAAAGTTCCCTTCATCCTGTTTAGACAGCAATCCTAGATTCTCTAGAAAGAAGGAGAAAAAGGCTGTGTGGTCCCCAAGATCCCACGGATATGAGAGTGCGTGATATCTTTTCTTCGACATCTAAAAAAAAAATCAAACAAATTGCAACCTTTCATGGGCGTTTTGTCTACAATTTTTCTGCGCCCGTCCAAGGGGGTTGTGCGAAACCTGGAAGATTTTTTCTCAATAATCCCAAAGGGCAGGAGATATCATAATGGGTTCAAGCTAAAACAAATCGGTACGTAAAGGGGAGATATGATGGCACTTTTTAAACACTTGAAAGGTACTGGTAGTTATCCAGAGGCAGGACAGGATCTATTCTTGATCATCCAAGAATGCAGGACACATAATAATGGGCTCAAGCTGCAGGAAGCGATTTGTTCTCAATAATCCCAAAGGACAGGAGATATCATAATGGGTTCAAGCTAAAACAAATCGGTACGTAAAGGGGAGATATGATGGCACTTTTTAAACACTTGAAAGGTACTGGTAGTTATCCAGAGGCAGGACAGGATCTATTCTTGATCATCCAAGAATGCAGGACACATAATAATGGGCTCAAGCTGCAGGAAGCCAGATTTAGGCTGAATATCAGGAAAAAACTTCTGAACTGTTAGAGTAGTATGACAGTGGAACCAATGACCAGATGCTTTCAGTAGAAAACTGGACAGCCATCTGTAAGATCTCCTTTGATTGGGATTCCTTCCTTGAGTGGGGAGTTGGATTTAATGGCCTTAGGGCCCCCTTCCAACTCAATTATTCTCCAATTCAATTATTCTGTCTGGAATTTTCTCCACGAATGCTTGCAATTTGTTTTAATTTTTTTAGTAGTCCTATAAAAGGTAATCACCACTCTTACATTTGTGGAACCGAGATTCTCTATCTCTTTCTTTCTCTCTCACACACACTTTGTTGACAGAAAACAACATTCCCTTGGCCAGATAAGCCGGCAGAATATTTTACAACCAGTGCGAAAATATTGTGTGACTCAGCGCGTTGTGTCCCACTTAAAATGCCATTGGCTCTTTAATTAAGCAAGAGGCTTTTCTCCAAGGCCATCAGGCAAAGCTCCCATCAGCCGCTTTCCGTTTTATTAGAAAACACTGAAATGTTTTGGCTGTAGAAAAGGGGAAGGTGGCTTCTTCTCTGAGACTTGCTTCGGGTGAAGAGCGTGAGATGTTTTCCGGCTGTCCGTACTAGAAAACACGCTGGCTGCCTCCTAAAACTGGGACATAATGCGCTACAAGGAGTATTGTCGCTAGCAACTCATTCCTTTTTTGGCTCATGGGGAAAGATGCATGTCCAGAGTAATGTAATGAGTAGGATCCCATGAAAAGACCTTGATGCTGGGAAAGTGTGAAGGCAAGAGGAGAACGGGACGACAGAGGACGAGATGGTTGGATGGTGTCACTGAAGCTACCAACATGAATTTGACCCAACTCCGGGAGGCAGTGGAAGACAGGAGGGCCTGGCGTGCTCTGGTCCATGGGGTCACGAAGAGTCGGACACGACTTAACAACTAAACAACAAGATCCTATTTATTTTACCAGTGTAGCAAAGTTTTATAATTACCTCCAAACGTTACTTTGAACAGAATTTTGTTTTTTGTGTGTTTTATGCCATTATTGCCATAAATTCTGCTCACAAAAAAAATCTGCAAGCCGTGCAATGAGAAGCAACGATGGGTTACTTTATACTGAGTAGTAGGAACAAATTAAAAAGTAACTTTCCAGGTTGTGGCTACTATTGGCCATTACCAGGTTAGCCTTCCAGTGTCCATCGATCTGTGGAGCCAATGGTTGGGAATTCCTGTCTCCACTGGGCCTCCTTGACAAGAGCTGGACTGGATGATCCACAGGGTCCCTTCCAGCGCTGCATTTCTAAGATGATGATGATGAGAATGTGAAAAATCCACATTAGGGTTCAGGCTGCTCAGTGGTTGAGGTCTCTGGGAGCGGAACCAGAGGCTGGGAACCCGATTCTTCACGGTGCCTCCTTGACTGGACTGGGGCTGGACTCTATAGCCCATCAGATTCCTTCCAGCAGTGCCGTTCTAAGAGGATGATGGTTGTGGTGCTTCAGAGTTGATAAGCTTAAGCACCGCCTTCTTTTGCCCTCTTTCTTGGTGACCCATGTCCTGTTGTTGTTGTTGTGCTCCCTAAGTGGTCTAAAGGCAGGGATAACGACCATGTCTTTCGTCTAGCGGTCAATTGTCTTGGGTCAACCCTACTTTTGCCCACGGAGAGACCTTGTCAAGCAGGCTGACAAACCACGGGCTGACAAGGCACACTATCAAATGGATCTCAGTTGCCTCATATCTTTCTGGAAGGTTGATCTCTCTCTGCCTTGGGGGTATCATATAATGGGGTGATTTACGAGAGCAGGTGCAGAGGCCGAGACGAGGCAGGCCTGTTAGCTGGAGGGGAATGTCTTCTCCGATGGCCGAGCGGAGGCTCAGTTTTTGCCTCGCAAACATACTGTATTTTTCGCACTATAAGACACACTTTTCCCCCACAAAACAGGGGGATGGAAAGTCTGTGTGTCTTGTGGAGCGAAGAAAACAGATTATTTTTTTCCTGTTTTCTTCTCCTAAAAATTTGGTGTGTCTTATGGAGAGGTGCGTCTTATGAAGCGAGAAATACGGTACTTCGCAAAAGGTGGGTGGAAGTGCATTCCATCCAGAAGCATATTTGTGGATGTTTTTTTCTTGCACTACATCTGTCCTGTGTTACTACTGCCGGGAAGATCAAAAACCCACACCAGCTCACATTTATTTTATATATATATATGGATGCAACCGTGGCAGTCGAAGAGCAATAATGGTGCTATAATTGTGTGAATACATGCACAGCAAAAGGTGGGTGGGAGTGCATTCCATCCAGAAGCATATTTGTGGATGTTTTTTTCTTGCACTACATCTGTCCTGTGTTACTACTGCCGGGAAGATCAAAAACCCACACCAGCTCACATTTATTTTATATATATATATGGATGCAACCGTGGCAGTCGAAGAGCAATAATGGTGCTATAATTGTGTGAATACATGCACAATATTGTAAAGGTGATAAGGATGCTGAAGTGCTGTTTGCGAAACACCACTTCAGTCAAAGTTTTTTTTTTTTCTGGATCCAGGACTACAAAAAAGAAATCTGTCTCTTTCATGAAACTTCAAATCCCAGGATTCCATAAGACGGAGCCATAGCCGTTCAAGTGAGATAAAGTGCTACAACTCTTTGCGAAACACCACTTCGGTCAAAGTTTTTTTTTTTTTCTGGATCCAGAACTACAAAAAAAGAAATCTGTCTCTTTCATGAAGCTTCAAATCCCAGGATTCCATAGGACGGAGCCATGGCCGTTCAAGTGAGATAAAGTGCTACAACTGAATAGCGCTAGATTAGAGATGGGCATGAACCACTTCTTCAGCAGTTCGTCCTTCAGACGAACAGTGGTTCGACATTTTCCAGCCCCGCCTTCCCCCAGTGGGCGGCCAATCAGAAGCAGCACCCTGGCTTCTCTGCCCCCCCTCCTCTGAGTACTGCCTCTGAGTGGCGGTTCCAACCACCGGTTCGTGCCCATCTCGAGTGCGGATCCATTTACCGCCCACCTCTCTCTCAAAGTCTACAGACTGCCAGTATGGTATAGAACTACGACTAAGGAGAACTGAATTCAAATCCCCTTCCAGCCAATGAAGCTCATTGGAGGTAGCATTGGGAAAATCACTCCTTAAATATCGTACTTCCTTGAGAACTCTTATTAGGGACACCATAAGACAGATGTGACTTGACAGCAAGCTGTGTATCTGTGTGTGTGTCTCTCTCTCTCTCTCTGTGTGTGTGTCTGTGTGTGCACAGTTTAATAGACAGAGTACAAAGAAGAAGAGGTATATAATCCATTGGTATTGTACTAGGCCACTCCATGTTGTATTTCTGAATGTGTAATTCTTTTGACGCAGCAATGTTATAACTCATCTCTTAACTTTATAATATACATAGTTAATGTTCTGTGATACTTTTGTTTTATTATTTACTTATGAACATTTTGTTGGGGCCATCTTTGCTCCCTGATCAGTTGGAATGTTCATGGATATTCAGTAACATCACACCGGCTCAGTCAACGGACTTAATTGCTGAAGTCACAATGCAACATAGCTGGCTGTTTTCTCGCAAAGAGGTGGAAAATATGTAATACTCCTAATTTGTTCAAATTCTAGCTCCTCCTCCCACCCCCGTCACCAATGGCTCAGAGAAACAAGAAAGTGGCTTCCAAAACCAGTCGCTCCAGAAAAAATCCCGCAGAGACGCCAGTTGTTATGGGGCCTAATATGGACTCTTTAGGTTTCCAGGCCATGGACAGCAACGTTCCAGGCTTATCCCGTGTCATCCTACAGAAACTCAACATGAAGAGCTGCGATGAGTACAGGTGAGCCGTATGGATGGGGACACATTTCAGGGGATGCTGAAATTCCGGTGTCTTGGGTTTTCTGGAAGCTGTACAAAAGTTGTATGTATTCGCGAAGGCTTTCACGGCCGGGATCTAATGGTTGTTGTGGGTTTTTTGGGCTCTTTGGCTGTGTCCTCTGAAGATGCCCCGGCCACAGAGACTGGAGAAACGTTAGGAAGAAAATGGCCAAAGAGCCCGAAAAACCCACATCAACCGTTGTGCAAAAGTTATTCGGGTCTAAACGTCATCAAGGAAGAACTGGGAGATTTGGACTCTAGGGCTGAAAAATGCATCTCAAAAGATGAGGCATCAGATTTGTATGAACATTTGGGCGGATCTGCAAGGAGTGTGTGTGGAAACACAAATGAAGTGGTCTTTGAACCCGGTAAGTAACTGAATCAGGTCAACCCGCTTAGAGGGCAGAGTCAAGAAGAGGTGAGACCATCTATGAACCTGAAATCAACTGGGTACAGTCCTGATGTTTGGATTCATGATAAGGGACTGTCTCTATTTTGTCCCTATTTTAGCCATTGGGAGTGATCCTGCTTCCTTCCCAAAGTTTCCAAACCAGGGATGGGCGATCTGGAGTCTTATGGTTTCAGAGCGTCCTCTTAAATGCTGCCCTGTTGTGGCTAGCTTCGGAACGTCACTCTGTTCAGTCCTGTGAAGATTCTCAGTCATCCAGGTGAGATGTGTCATGGCAACCGGACTTCTTTCTTATTAGGAAAGAAAGAAGTCCTAATAAAAAAGAAGTCCACTTGCCGAGACTCAACTTCCAGATTTATTTGTTCCTGTTCAGCTTTGCCGCATCAAACAAATTAGAAAAACTCTCAGTCAGCCCACAGGCAGTGTCAGTGAGAGAGAGAAGCCATGGGAAACGTAGTCTAAAAAAGTAATTTTTCTGTAATTTGTTATGTATCATCAAATCACCCCTGATTTACGGTGACCCTATGAATGACTGATCTTCAGAATAACCAGTCGCTAAGAGCCCTCTGTGACTCTTCCAGGCTCAAGGCCGCGGCTTGCTTTATTGACTCAATACATCTCTGGTTCCATCTCCCTCTTTTCCTGTTGCCTTCAACTTTTTATAGCGTTCTTTGCCTTTTCCAAAGAGCCTGGCCTTCTCATGCTCGGCCCAAAGTACGAGACTGGATTTCATCATTTCCAAACTCTTGTCTTGAGGAATGCAGCCCTTTCCGGAGAAAATGTTCTCTGCTCCTTGCTCTAGATCTCAGACCAGGAATGGGGAAATGCTGGACTCCAACTCCCATCAGCCACAGACAGCATTACCGATGATAAGAGGTGTAGCCAAGCAGTATATCAAGGACCGCGTTATTCAATCCCCTCTGAAATGCAGTAGGCTTTAGAGCAGTGGTTCAAAACTTGGTCGCCCAGATGTTGTGGAACTAAAACTCCCAGAAGCCTTCACCACTAGCAGTGTTGGCTGGGGCTTATGGGAATTGTAGTCCAAGAACATCTGGGGGAACCAGTGCTGTATAGGTTAGGCATTCTGTCTACCACATCAGATTCATGTGTTAATGGCTAGACAGGGCTCATATACCAAAGCACTGATGAATCTATACTCAATCACTACAAAGTTCAGCTGCGGAGGCATCTCTGAAATGTACATATGTCCTCTTTTCTCGTTTCTCTCGCTCGGAATGCTTTGCGACAGGACTGTGATGGAGGGCAAGAAACTGTATGCAGATTTTGGCATCCGATCCTATTTCGAGATGTTCCAGAAACTGGAAGACACGTTCAAATTCTGCGCTGAGTGCAAAAAACTCCCAGAATCTATGCCTGATCCAAAAAGCCTACGGCGCTGCAAAAGGTAAAAAAAAAATCATGTTTATTTAGTTAAAGGGGAAAAAAATTGCCTATTCATCACTTAATTCTTTTAACTGAAGAAGCAAATAAAATTGTATATGACTTACACAGCTGTTAGTTGTTCTGAACTAAAAACCTCCTTATTTTTATGTTTTTATATGCATAGCTCAAAACATAAGATCTCACATCTTACATTTTTATGTGCACATATATTTTTATATGCACATCTCAGAAGATGCTTTAATTCACATAAGCGGTGGGCGAAGATAGAACTGATTGACTGGCAGTGCTTTCCCTCAATTAAAAACCTTTTTGAGCCTTGCAACCAATTACTCATCAATTAAAGATCACAACCTTCCTTAGTAAAATTATAAGTCTTCTGGTCTAAGGATGTCCAGTGAAAATGGTCAAAACTGAAGTTTGTTCCACAGTTTAGATTAAATTATGGGACATCCAGCTTTGACTGGTGCACATATAATTCTTTTTTGCTGTTCGAAAGATCTTATTATTTGAAAAATTTGTTAACAGGATCTAGAATTACAAAAGTTTTATTTTGGGCAAAAAGCCCAAAAATAATGATGGTCAGCTAAGAAATAGGACTTTCCGAGTATGATGAAATTGACGTGCAAGACGAAGGAAAAATAACATTTTAAAAATTACAAAGAGATCATCAAGATCATACCCCTTCCTTCATAAAAATACATACCTTTAATTACTTTTTGGAATGATAAACCAGGAGAGGCTATCAGCTCTGTGAACTGATTATATGTCATAAAGTTTCTACAAAGCCTAATAAAACTGAAAAGTATATGGTCCCCTTTACAAGTTGAGGTGGGCGTGGGAGAGAAAAGAATATACAGCAAAAGCTGGCCCTGTTATTAGATAGGAGCAGAGGCTTAGGCTAATCTTTTGCCTTAAGGTGCAATGAAGGACTCTGTCTTATTACTGGCATCAGCACAAGACTCAGCTGCCATTCCAAGTTATGATGCTTACTGAGATATTATTTAAATTATACTGAATGTGGCTCTAGTGGTCCTTCAGCGAAACTCAGTTTCACTGCTCTTCCTCTGTGGCTGTCAGAATCCCCAGTCAGCAAGGCAACTGGGAGTTGTCTAAATATATACAGTGGTGCCTCGCTAGACGATGATAATCCATTCCACTGAAATCGCTGTTTAGCGAAATCATTGTCTAGCCAAAAGCATTTCCCCATTGGAATGCATTGAAACCGGTTTAATGCGTTACAATGGGGAAGAATCGTCGTTGTCTAGCGAAGATCGGCCATAGGAAAGCCGCTTTGCGAACGGCCGATCAGCTGTTTAAATAGCTGTCTTGCGAAGCTTAGGTCCCGAAAACACCCGTTTTGCGAGTGTGGAGGGAGCTGTCAAAATTGTTGTCTAGCGAAAATCGGTTTGCGAAGCAGGGACCAAACATTGTCCAGCGAAATTCCCCCATTGGAATCACTGTTTTGCGAATCGTTATAGCGATCGCAAAAGTCGATGCCTAGCGAAAAAAACTGTCACGCAGGGTAACTGTCTAGCGAGGCGCCACTGCATATAGATATATAACATTTCAAAGCTCTGGTGGCCATCTTTCCCCCTCCCTGTACAGCCATGCCTGCCTTCCACTGCCCCTTTCCTCAAGGGAGACCAAGGCCTGCATCTGTTGCTAGGCAACAGCTTCTCACTCCTGAAAACAGAAGTATCAGCGATGCTTAGCTATGAAATGGCCACTGCAGGACCCAGCAAGAAATTTCCTAGGAACATTGAGTTCTACCCCCCACCCAAGTTTTTTTCTTCTAGTTGGTTCTCCAAGGATGTATTTGAGAAAACACTTTGCTCATACTCTGATGCAGTGGTTCTCAGCCTTGGGTAACCCAGGTGTTCTTGGACTACAAGTCCCAGAAACCCCGGCTGGCATAGCTGATGGTGAAGGCTTCTGAGAATTGCAGTCCATGAACACCTGGGCACAGATGTTTATTATTGTTTACAATGGCTTCCTAGGCTCCGGATCAGTAGGTGTGGTCTTGATGGATTTGGGCTATTGATTAAGAAAGCACACTGTCCTTGTGGATACAGGAGCCAAATATATCCCCGTGAACTCAATTTTTGTTTTCGTCCTCCCACATCCAGATGTCAGAATGTCTACTACTGTGGCTCCGAGTGTCAGCGGGCCAACTGGCCCTTACACAAGAAGTTCTGCAAAAAGCTGAAGCTCGTGGCCCTTGACCGACTTGTGGAATGGCTTGTATTCACAGGTAAGCCAGCAGTGATGGTGGCCACATATCCTGCTTCACGGGGATAGCTCAGAGGTTGAGGTCTCTGTCTGGCAGCGGAGTCAGAGGTTTTGGGAGTTCGATCCCCCCACTTGTGCCTCCTGGACAGGGGCTGGACTGAATGATCCCATAGGGTCCCTTCCGGCTCGGCAGCTCTTAGATGATGATTATTCGAAGATATTGTTTGCTGGAAGGACTGCCCAGTCCAAATCTGGTATGCAGATAAATTGCACACTGTTTTCTCCACGACGGTGACATGCATTTTCCGTTTCTTTCACTTAGAGTAGTGGTTCTTAACCTTTGTTACTCGGATGTTTTTGAACTGCAACTCCCAGAAACCTCAGCAACTCCTGAGTAACCCAAGGTTAAGAACCAGTGACTTAGAGCATTAATTCTCTTTAACTTAGAGCATTAATTTCCAAAATTAATGTTCATTGATGTGTGTCCGTCGGTGAACACATGAATATTGCATTCCTTCTATTTAATTTCCAAAATGAATGTTCGTTGATGTGGGCCCGTGCACGTCCATGAACACATGAATATTGCATTCCTTCTATTTTCCTCTTTTTGGTGGGCATAATTTATCCTGTACAACAGTAATGTTTGCAAACCCATACAGTTTCTTTTCAATGAAATAACACCTTCAGTAGGACCCTGGTATCCACAGAATCAGTATCCACTGATTCATTTATCTGCTACCCGAAAACTGGCCACTAGGGGGAGGAAGAGACCATGCAATGGATAACATTTGATACTTCCACGTTTTTCAGCATCGATGGAGGGGTGCGTGTGTGTTTGGGAACCAATCCCCTACAGATACTGTGGTCCTACTATACGTTCGCTCATTTTTAAAAACAGAGTCTCTAGACAGACATCACTGTTAAATCCTTATATTCTTGTGTGGGTTTTTTTTTTGTATGTGTAACCCTAACGTTTTTTTTACTTCCTCAGCTTGGATGAGTTACATCTTGGAACTCCAACAATCGAAACCCAGGCTACGATGGGGTGCTGAGTCGTACCATATTCTGTGCTGGATCTGGCCCACCACAGACTATAGTACCCAGGCCATCTGTGAATTCTGACCGACGGGTGGGTCAGGATTCGCAGATGGGATCCTGATATACGAGGGAAGGAGACAGTTGTTTTTTCAAAAGCTCTTGGCTGAGGTCAATAGGAAGGATTGAAATTTCCTATACCATATCTGGAGCTGGTGTAAAATTACCCCGTTGAAAGGCATCTGGCTATAAATTAAAATATATAGGCTGTAAAGCTGTGTGTGTGTGTTCCTGGAGCTGGCCATATCCCGTTGGTGTCTCTGCCCCGTATCTGCCAGGGTGGTGGTACTGTATATCCAGCAAGCCCCTATTTTCTGCCCTATCTTAATGCCCCACAAGCATTTGATTTTCTACATAGGTTTGCCCCTTGATGGATGGATGGACTGTTTTACATTCCCCGTCTTGCCTTTCCTCCAGTGAATCCAGACAGCTTCCTTTGTTCTCTCTCCTCCCTACCGCTCCTCACAGACCAAGAACCCTGTCAGGCTAAGAGAGTGGCGGTCATAAGTTCCTCCAGGGAGTGTCATGGCTCAGCGGGCATGCGAAGCCGCGTTTCCCCGAGTCTGGTCCTTAATCATAAGCCGTGATGTCAGATTTCATAAACCGACAGCAAAGCATAGTCTTGGGCTGCCCCGATCTACAAGATCTACATGGCAGCTTCCGAATGAGAATCGTGCCTTCTCATTACACGTTCCTCAAAGGGCTGTAGGGGAGGTACATGCAATCTCCTGCTGGAGCCTGTGGTGCAATGAATGAATGAATGAATGAATGAATGAATGAATGAATGAATCAGTGAATCAATCAATGAATCAGTGAATCAACCAATGAATCAGTGAATCAACCAATGAATCAGTGAATCAATCAATAAATCAATGAGTAAGGCTCCACAAATCACGTCTCCTACTTCTGCTCCAAGGAGCCTCATGGTACAGTGGTTAAACTGCAGTTCTGCCATCAAGACTCTGCTCACAACCCAAGTTCAATCTCAGGTAGTTGGCTCAAGACTGAGACAGCCTTCCCGGGTAGCAAACTTGAGTGCCCAGCTCGTTGGTGGGGATGGGGCAATGTGTAGCCCGCATCATGAAATTGTAATGATGTAAGCCACCCAGAGAGAGCTTTAAATGCTTAAAATCTAAGCACCACCCCCTCTCTTGTTTTGCTTTTGCTGTGACCCTCTTACTGCGGCTGGTCTTCCCGTAGGTGACATCCCTTTCCCCACCAGTCCCTGGACAAAAGGTATCCAGGAGGTGAGCAGCTGGGAGGATTGGTGGTCCATGCAGGAGGGGCTGGATGGAAAGCTCCACTCCATCATGACCGGGCGCTACATGAATCTCCTCTGGGCGAACGCTGGGAAACCAAAGCCAGAGGAGGCGGAATTGCTGGAGTCCGTCAAGAGAGTGACAACGGACTTTGTGTCCCGGCCTGCCACCATCGGCCTGGGCCTGTGCGTGTTTCGGATCGATCCTTACGCCAAGCCAATCACGGTGCATGTGGTCGGGGCTTCTCACGTGGAGACTCTCAACGCACGAGTGACGGATTACGACGAGGTGTCTTGCATGTTCCCCAAGCACCAGGGCATCGAGGTGGTGATGGTCGGCGTTGATGTGGTGGACGGACCTATCATGAGGCCTCCGCTGGTGGCCTTTGGACCCCGGGGAAGGGTCTACCTCAGCAGTTACAAAGCCCTTTATCATGACTTCTGGGAATCGCAGGTGGAAACGCAGCAGGCGGCCCGCCCTGACCTCGTGGTCGGCTTCCACCCAGGTAGGTGGTTCAATATCGTGCAGTCAAAGGCTTTTGTGTAGTCAATGAAGCAGAAGTAGATATTTTTCTGGAACTCTCTGGCTTTCTCCATAATCCAGCGCATGTTAGCAATTTGGTCTCTAGGTCCTCTGCCCCTTCTAAATCCAGCTTGTACTTCTGGGAGTTCTCCAGCATTATCTGACCCCAAAGCAGCTGACAAAAGCAGACCTGGCTTCGTGACATCTGACCTTAGGCTGGCCATCTGACCTCCAGGTTTGGGCCTGGAAATCTCAACATATGGGATGATGCTGGCCCAGTGAGATGGCCCCCAGGTTCCTTTCACTCCATGCAGAGCATTGATCTCAGTAGCTGAATCCAATGCCGACGGCAGGATAACATTCCCATCACACTGGATGCCGCACTCCAGTTTAGGGGGGTCAGAAGGGGCAATGGGACACGTACAGCTCAGTCCTGCAAGAGAAGGGGATAGTTGGGGGTTTAGGAGAAGAAACAGCCAGGAAACGGGTGTTGCTGACCCCCAGCATTTGCTGCCAGAGGTAGTTGCATCACTCTGCCTAATGGTAAGGCCGGCTCTGCAAGAGTGCTGCCATTCAGCATTTCGACTGGGAGACTGGCCATGGTGTTTCCTACTGGTCCGCACGAATGCCAGTGTCCCTCTCGGCCCCGTAACGAAGCCTGCTTTGCTGTAGACGGATGCCACTCCGGTCATGGACCTTTTGCGGATCAACACAGAGGGAGCTGCCAAGGGTTGCCGGTCTTTAGAAAGGGAAGCTGAGAGGGAGAGAGACGCATTCTGGCAGAAACGTGACCTTCCTCACAAGAACAAACTGCCAGTTCTATGTAATTCAATCCCTGAGGAGCAGAGTCACCTAGCCAATCCTTGAAGGAAAACACACACACACACACCACACACACACGTCCACAGAGGTACAAGGAAAGATATTGGAAAGTGTTGGGTATGGGAACAGGGAGGAGAGAGACTAGAATCTGTTGGATGCAAGCCCTGGAAATTTACAGTATAATAATCATCATCATCATGCGCCATCAAGTCAGTTCTGACTTAAGGTAACCTTTTTCCAGGTAGAGAGGACTCAGGAGTGGTTTCCCCTTCCCTCTTTCTGAAAGGGGCATCCTGGGATCATGCAGCTGGCCCAAGGCCACCCAGGCTGGCTGGACTCTCTGGAGGCATGAGGTGGGGTGGGGAATCAGACTCCCAACCTCTGGCTCCACAACCAGAGACATCAACCCTTCCTTCCTTCCTTCCTTCCTTCCTTCCTTCCTTCCTTCCTTCCTTCCTTCCCTCCCTTTTCTTGCCTTTCTAACTTCCTTCTCTCTCTTTTCCTTCGTTCCTTCCTCCTCTTTTCCTTCCTTCCTTCCTCAGGGAGGGTAGCTATTTCTCCTGCCTTTGGAGTCCCCCCCTGTGGAGATCTCCTCTTGTGTAGGGGGTGGTGCTGTTTTGCTGTATCAGCATCCACGTGGCCTGAACATCAAGAGGGATCACTCCCTCTCTCTTCTTGAAAAGCTGAAATGGAGTAGCAGAAATGTCGGGGAACGTTCACGGATATCTGTGGGGAACCGCCATAGACCAGGGGACTTGCACTAGCCCAAGCCACTGGGCTGTCTTCGTTTAGCGTGGCAGATGCTTCGTTTAGCGTGTCAGATGCAGTTTGACTGGGAGGCTTTCCCAGGCCTCTTCAGAGATGCTGGAGATGGGACCCGATGCCCTCTGTGTGCATGGAGCATGTGCTGTGCCATGCTACAGGGGAGCCCCAGAGGGTTTTCATCCCAGGGCCGGCCCTACCCTTCGGCAGAGCAAGGCAGTGGCCTCGGGTGGCAAATGCTGTGCGGCGGCGGCACAGACTTGGAAGAGAGACCTGTGTGTCCCCCAACCTTGCCCACACTAGTCAGCGACCGTGAGGCATGAGGTGGGACGCAGTCCCCTCCCAGAGCTGTGAAAATGTCCTCACTTTAGACTACAACTCCCAGAATCCAAGCCAACGTGGCTGCTGGCTGCAGGTTGTAGTGGGAATTGGAACCCACAATATTTCCCCCCCTAGTTAAAAACCTTAAGATGATTTTTGTTTGTATGACCACCGAGAGTAGTGGATTTTCGCTATGTGGGGTGGTATAAAACGTCCTAAATAAAAACATATATAAAATAGGTTCTGTCCTATCCCCTGTGTAGAAGGGACCCGTCTAGTTGGCATTTGTCCCCGCAGCGGGCAGGGGTGTG